TCAAAGCCAGCCCTAGTTGGTGAGACCCTATCTCAAAAAACCTTCACAAAAAAAGAGCTGGTGGAGTGGCTCAAAGTGAAGGCCCTGAGTTCAAGCTCCAGCCACAAAAATAAATGTTCTTTAAGATCTACAATTTTTATTTTATTTATTTTTCTGGAGGGACTGGGGTTTGAACTCAGGGCTTTGCGCTTGCTGAGCAGGCACTCTACCACTTTGACCCACACCTCCAAGCTCCAAGATCTATACTTTCTATTAATTTTTATTGCTCTTGCAAAATCATGGGACCAGATGGGCATAGTGGCACACACCTATAATTCCAGCACTTAGGAATCTGGGGCAGGCGGATCTTGAGTTCAAGGCCAGATGAGGCTATATAGCAAGACACTCTGTCTCCAAAAAAAAAAAAAAAAAGACAGTTTCATAATTAATCAAAAGGACAATTAACACCTAAAATGGAATTCAGTAAACAGAAAAATTATGAAAGAAAAGGGCCATAAGGCAGTTGGTACTGGTCCTCTTTCCAACCTAAAAAGGCAACAAAGATGGCACCTCTGTAGAGATTGGAATATTTGGTAAAGCACTGAGAACCAAGATTAGAAAAGACAGAAAAATGGTTTATGTAAACGAAAGGTGATTTTTTCCCTGACTAGTATACAGCTAAGTTGGTCCTCACTTCCCTTCCATATCTGGTAGGAACACAGAATTAACCAGATGCACTGTCAGATAAAAGGCAAGGGTGGCAGAACTGTGGTTGACAAGCAAGGGGACAGTCACTCTCACTCTTTAGGGTGCCTGACAGCCTCAGGAGCATGGCAGTAACCAAAACAAAGTATTCAACCTCTAACACTGCAGGCTCCTCACTCTTGGCTGCATAGGGACTACTGTGGCTCAGCAGGGAAGTCATTTAGAATACAGGCAGTATTCTGGGGTTGAAAATGAGTCCAGCAACATTTCTACAGATTCCAAAGAGTTAATGGTTTGCTCAGATTTCAGATAAACTGCTCTTACTATTTGGGTGAACATCATATGGCTTTTAAGTTCTATTACTCTTTAAATGGATATACAATGCAAACCTAGCTAAGTCCTGTCTTTCAGCTAATGATGAAAAGGTTGAGACGCTTGAAGACAAAGGGGCTAACCAATTACCGATGGCTGGGAGGCACTGGGAGCACTTCATTATGGACACACTCCTGTGTCGGTAATCATGTTTTGAAATCCAGCCAGCTGGAGTCCAGACCAGCATCGTTTTTTTTTTTTTTTCTTCAAATAGAGGTGATGACTGCACAACACTCACTGAACCACTCAATTGTGTACTGGAAATTTTGTTGTGTGACTATGCTAGGTTAATGTTATGCTATGTGACTTCTATGTTAATAAAGTGATTTTTCTCCACTCTTTTTGATAGAGTTCAGCTTAACAAATAAGGCTTCTCCAAGTACTAGAGATGAAATCCTACCAGGGTCTACTGTTAATCCAGAAGACTAAAATGAGGGTATACATTTAGCAACAGCTTTCATCTCAACGAATTCGAAAGATATGTTCATTTTAGCATTGTGAAGGGTTAGCTCTCTTCTCTCCACCCCAAAGAGAATAATCCAAACCACACTGTGAATAGTGGTTGGCAGAACTCCATCTCTGAAGAACCTTCAGCGGTATCATTACTCCATTAGCGATAATGGCTATTGATCTAGCCTCCTGGAAGAGCCAGCAGGAAAAACAGACTATTTCAGAGAGGAAGAATTTTAATGTCTATTGATTCCCCTAGGAAGATTGTTCATACACAAATTATGATGGCCTCCTGCCACCCTTGCCCCCAACTACCCAGTTAGATGGTTTAACCCAGCAACTTCAAGGAAATCAGGAGCCCAGAACACCCCCCACTACTTACAATTCTAGCATGTCAGGAAGCTATTAAAAACCAAAGGACAAGACAGTTCAATGGTGCCCCCACCCCACAGAGGATGCCTGCAACTGCAGCTAGTCCCCAACACGTTATCTACCATTCTCCTCCTTATCTATGATAAAGTTTAATCTGCATATTAGGCACAGTAAGAGATTAATAACTTACAATAAAACAGAACGGTTATAATACACTGTGATAGAGGTTACTTAACACTTATTTTCAGGCCATGGCTGACCAAGGATAACTGAAACCACGGGAAAACTTAAAATGTGAACAAGGGGGACTTACTAAATTTATATTGTCTACAAATATAGGCAGTCCTTAATTAAATGCAAGAATTACACATTTAAATGTGTATCCTGGTCATCCACATATACCTGTCTCTGTGTACTGACTCCAATACTGTTATTATGAGTGTAATTTTCCTAAATACCAATTTATTTTAGTCCTCTTATCAAGTTGTCAGCCTTCCAAAAGAACTCAATGGAGTGATAAGACTAAATTTTCCAAGTTCTCCATCATGACCTTCTAAAACTTTTATTTAAAAAAAATTGTTTAGTACTGGGGATTGAACCAGGGCTTCACACATGCTAAGTGCTCTACTCCTGGAGGGAGTACACCCCCAGCCTGGAGGGCTTTTATGAGCTGGGTAAGAAACAGGTGTGTAAGTAGTTACCATTTTGGAGATACCTACTGTGGTTCCTCACTTTTACAAGTAGGCACTATGCCATTTTACAGGTAAGAAAATGAGGACCAAATCACATTAATTAGGTTTGAAAAAAAGGTATTCATTCTACAAAGGTTCTTCCCTCCATATGGTCTGAAGAACAGAAACACAGTAGGACAATCTTTGCAAATTAGGATCTAAAACATTTTATCCTGGGTTCTCATTCCCTAAATTGCCGGAAATGATTCACTAGGAAACCAGCATTTTTCAAGGTTTTTATTATAATCCTGTCCAGTTAATTACTTGCAATAACTGAAATATACATGCCACCCCTGCACTGTGATCATAAATATATACCTGTATAAAAATTATTTTATTCCATCGTGCCTGATTTTTTAAAAAAGTGAGATGAATGTTGAAAAATAAATCCCTTATGAACGTCTGTAAGAAAAGTAGAACTAAAAAGGTGAATAAGGCTTATCTAGAGGTCACTGCTTTGCATGTCTAAGGACAAATAAAATTAATTTTTTGGGCCAATTCTTGTCTGGCAGAAGATGAGATGCTCAATTCCACATGGCTTATCAGCTAATTTCTGCATTACCTTGGACAAATGCCATCGCAAACTCCCTACCAGCCCTTAGGTGCATTGCAGCCTCTGTGTCATTGTGTGTGACATCACTGGGTTGCTATGGATATAGGTGCGAGGTCACTCGCTTTCCTGTGAAACTAGAAATATGGAAAATTAGAAGAGTCTAAACAACATGAACTAAAGAGATTCCTCATACTGATTATCTAATAAAAGTCCCGCTTGTATCATTGAGCACTAAAACATTACAAAATAACAAGTCTAGCAACATATTACAGACAGGATTTCCAATCAATTTTAACATCAGTTCTTTTTAATAAGATAAAAATCTTTTTTTTTGTAGCTGGTTTAATTATGAAAGCACTGGCACTGATAATCTCGAGAGCTAGTATAGTTATTCAAGAGTTAACCTGCTAACACCTCTGATGTTCATTTAAGACTTAACATGTAAGGTACACGCCAGTGTCCACTTCACGCTGGAGATGGATTTAAAAACCTTTGTTACGTAAGGCAGGAAGTTAGACATTAAGGGAGTGGGAGACCTGAATTACTATCTCCACGTTTCGTTTTATAATATTCAGTAGTTCCCCCCTCCTCTAATATCACACTGGTTTCCAACTCAATAGGTAAATGACAAAATGGTGCAACACAGGAGAACCTGCATCCCAGACAAAATGCGACAACTGGAGATCACAGATCACAATTCTCTTTTCATCAGCATAAGGTTGTGTTAGGTTAAATTTAAAAAAAAAAAAAAAAGCCTCAGATATATATAACAAAACAAATTAAAAAGGAAAAATAGACTTTTCCCCCTTTAAAATAACTCCTCCCAGCCTCCACCCAGTCTAGGCTCTCTGCAATATGACAAATGCAGAATCTTCTGGAATGACTTGATACTGCCTCCCACCACCGCTTTGTTTGCAGTATCACATCAGACAGAATGTAATTTTTTTTCAACTTATAGGAATTTCAGCAGACGCGTGCCTGTATTCTAAAAAGGAAACAGCATATGTCACAAATTGAACCCCGTCACCTCACCACCTTTATTTTAAAGGAAATACCTACCCTTTGTAATGCAAAAAACATTTAGGAAAAAAATGGAGGTGATATGGAGAACCAATCAATGAAAATGCCAGAGAGACAAGTGTCCCCCATTTCCTAAAAGACTTTGCTTTGGGGAATGGAGAAACAGGAGCCTTTTGTTAAGAAAAACGTGAGCAAGGAGGTTTCGATTTTGCACCCTTGGAGCTCAGGATTTTAGGAGACCCTACATTTCCCACCCACCCCCCCGGGAGGTTCCTTAACGGATCTGTCAGAAGAGGCAAGGGAGTGGTGGGGGTGGGAAGATTGGGGGTGTAGGGGGGTGGAAAACTGGGAGACCTGCTGAGTGAATGAGAAAGGCGCCGCCCAGACACCAGGGAGAGAAAGAGGAACCGCATCCATGCGGTCCCCCGCCCCCACGCCTGGGAGGAGGGGAAGTGGGGCACAAAGGATGCACACGGTCCCCGATCCGGTCCCCAGCGCACCCCAAAACACCGGGATCAGAGACCCCACTCCCGAGCCTGCCCTGCAAGACCCCGCCCCAGCCCGAGCTCCGAGCTCCGAGCGCGGAGACGGTCTGGGACAGGCAGCGCCACCAGGCTTTGGGGACACTGGAGATCGGCCGCGTCACCACCCGGGTCCCTATCGCCATCGGTCCCCGTTCCCACCTCCCTCGCTGAGTGAGATGGGACGGCCACCCTACAGTCACGACAGGCGACTATCCCCTGGGCCTCCCTTCCACGCCTTGGACCGAGTCTCGGGAGGGGCTGGGGTAAGGCGGGGGGAGGGGAGGAGACACTCACGTTCTTCATGGCCGCGGCCATGTCGTCGTAGCGCTCCGCCTGCTCGGCCAGTCGAGCTTTCTGCACCAGTTGCTCGCGATCCACCATCTTCGCGGGCTTGGATCGAGCCGGAGGAAGGAGACCGGGATGGTCTGAAGGGTTTGGAGAGCGGCTACGGCGGGGTTGGAGCCCGTGGGCCGGAGAGACCGACTCACGAAGCGAACAGCAGAGGCAGCTGCGACTGAGGCGGCGGCGCAGAGGGAGCGGAACGAGCTGCGACCGCGGGACCAGGCGCGAGGCTGCTGCGGCTGCTCTGCGTGCCGCGGACGGACAACCCCCTGCGGCCCCGCCCACGCCTCGTGACGTAAGCCGCCCCGCCCGCGCGCCCCGCCCAGGGCCCGCCCAGCACTGCCGTGGCTTCAACTGGTGCACCCCAATAGGCGCGGCTCGCTGCCGTCTTCTGCCCGTCCCCCAACTTTGCTGCTGCACCCCAAGCTCTCCTTTCTTCAATTCACCCCGATTCCTTAGCTCCAGCTCCAGTGGACATTCGTCTCCCCTCCCCCTTCAGCCCCCCGCCCTGCTTGGCCTCTGGCGCCTGGGCCCCTGGGAGTTGTAGTTCACCCTGCCACGGGTGGAAGCCTGGAGGAGACCGAGGACAAAGGGGCGGTGGAGACTACATTTCCCAGAACGTATAGTGCGCAGGCGGAGGAGGAGTGGGTGGGGGAGGGTTCTAACCCCGTGGCCGCTGGGGACCCCTGGCGGGCATGCAAGCTGCATCCGTCCTGGCGAGTGCTGATTCACGGCCCCGCCCCGTCTCCTCCCTGCAATCGCGAGTGGAAGGGGCAAGGCCCTGTGTCCTATACCTTGCTTCAGACATTGAAGTAGGGGCGGAGGGGAAACTGGGCATCCATCACCATCCAGTAGGGTGCCTGCCCGTGGAAGGCTGAATTTAAGGTCCAAATTCTGAGGACTTTTACACCTGCCCACCACCCATGCAGCAAGGTTCCACTCCTCCAATGCACCTTGATATTCTTGGGCTTGGCTAGGTGAAGTCATGGAAGGACAAATACCAACTGCACACACTCGTTCATTTCCAGAAAGGATGCAGCTGTCTGCAGGCTCACCTCCTTCCTCTCCAGTGTGGAGTAATGAAGATTCAGTTCAGTGAACCAGGCTCCTACTTGATAGCTCACACATACCATAGTTTTGATTGCATATTTTATTTACTTCATTTATTCAATTATTTATTTACTTCATCTAATCAGTTATCTCAATAATTATTTAATTATTGAGAACCTTCTATGTTCCGATTACTGTCCAAACAACGGGTACTGCAATGAACAAAACAGACAGAAACCCTACTTAAGAAAATAGGGCCTGGCACTGTGGCACACGCCTGTAATTCCAAAATTTGGGAGGCTGAGGATCAAGAGATCAAGGAAAGCCTGAGCTGTCACACCCTATCTAAAAAGAAAAGAAAAGAGAGGAAGAATGAAGGGAAGAAGGGAGAGAAGGAGGAAGGGAGAGAGGGAGGGAGGAAGGAAGGAAGGAAGGAGGGAAGGAAGGAAGGAAGGAGGGAAGAAAGGCAAGACAAAAAAATAAATAGGGTACCAGGTGCTCACGCCTGTAATCCTAGCTACTCAGGAGGCAGAGATCAGGAGCATCACTGTTCGAAGCCAGCCTGGGCAAATAGTTCTCAAGACCCTATCTCAAAAAACAAAAAAACAGAAAACCTCACAAAAAGGCTGGTGGTGTGGCTCAAGGTGTAGGCCCTGCACTGCAAAAAAAAAAAAAAAAAAAAAGCGTAGGGCATGGGCTATAGCTCAGGGATACAGCTTGTGCTTAGCTTGCTCTTGTCCTGGGTTCAACCCCTGGTACTTCAAAAATAAATAAAAATAAATACATAGCCTATGTTTAAAAGCAGTAAGGTCTGGAGGCGTGGCTCAAGTGGTAGAGCACTTGTCTACTAAGCATAGAGGCCCTGAGTTCAAATCCCAGTACCACAAAAAAAAGAAGCAAAAAATAAAGTAGGGGATATGAAGTGTGTAAAAGAACCTAGAATGAGTTTCTATGAGAAAATAGCCCATTCTCCATGTTCTGTGCTGAAGAACCCTGTTCTTCAGGATTTTCTAATTATTAAGTAAAATTAAAACATTTTTAAAAAAATTATTACAGAGCTGGAGGAGTGGCTCAAGTGGTAAAGCACTTGCCTAGCAAGCATGAGGCCGTGAGTTCAAATCCCAATACTACAAAAAAAAAAAGAAAAATTATTATTATGCATTAGGAAGAGAGGTTTTTGTTTTGTTTTGTTTTGTTTTTTTCAACACTGGTCCTTCATCTTGAGCTACTCTGCCAGGCCTTTTTTTGTGATGGGTTTTTGAGATAGGGTCTCAGGAACTATTTGCCCAGGTTGGCTTGGAACTGTGATCCTCCTGATCTCTACCTTCTGAGTAACTAGGATTACAGGCGTGAGCCACTGGTGCCCACCCTGGAAGAGATTCTTAAAAGCTCCAGGGAACTTGGTAACATTTCCATTCAAGTCCTTAAAGAATTGAAGGATCTAAAAAGAGAACAGAGAGGCATTCAAAGGCTAGTTCGTCCAGGACATGTGTATTGATAGTCTGTAATTTGTCAGGAATACATGTTTTTTTTTTTTTTAACAATTCTTCTGGTGGTACTAGGATTTGAACTCAGGACCTCAAGCTTGCTAAGCAGGTGTTCTACCACTTGAGCCTCTACTGGTGTCTCATGGAAGCAGATGGAGTCAGGATTCAGAAAATAAGGGCGCTGAAACAGGCAGGCTAAGGAATTTAGGACTTGTGGTGGTGTCGTTTGGGGGTTTATCACTGTGGGAATCCAACCCCAGACCTTGTACATTCTAAGCAAGTCCTCCACCACTAAGTCACATCCCTAGCCTAGGAATTAAGTTTTTATTGTGAAATAAACAGGAAGCCTGTGAGACATTTCCACAATGGCAGAAAAATGATCAAATGTGTGTTTTATTTATTTTTGGGGGGAGGGGTGGGATTGAGGTTTGAACTCAGGGCATCCCACTTGCAAAGCAGATTACCGCTTGAGCCACACCTCCAGTCCATTTTGTTCCGGTTATTTTGAAGATGGGGTCTCATGAACTATTTGCCTGGGCTGGCCTCAAACCTTGATCCTCCTGAGCGCAGTCTACTAAGTAGCTAGAGTTACAGATATGAGCCACTGGTGCCCAGCTTTGTGGTTTATCTTTGCCATTGACTGTTCAGTGCTTATCGTGTACCTGGCACATAGTACATAGAATACATGAATGAATGAATGAATGAATGAATGATTGCATGCTCTGGGAAGAGTCTAGAGGTTGGACTGAGTGAGGTGGGAGTCTAGAAATAGTTCTGTTCTCCCCCTCCTCCAACAAGGATCTGGCCTGGCCTCTCTTCTCTTACCACACCACCCAGCAAAATGTAGTCCTGCTGGTGAATAAACCCTCCTACTTCCTTCTGTCTCTTGCAGGAGCCTCCGCCAAGCCATTCCTTTTGGTTTCTCCCCCTCCCTGCAGGCCAGACCTGAACCACTCTGTCCTGATGCATCACAGGTTCACTGGCTCAACCCCGTCCATCCTCTCCTGGTTGTCCATATGTCAGTCAAACATGTCAAGGAGTCAGACATCTAATACTAAGTCTTGGGAACTTTCTGGCACATTTCAAGCTGTCTCTCTGACCTCTCCACCTTGGCTCCTTCCTCTGCTAGTCTACTGCTTTGAAAAAAAAAAAAGGAAGAAAAAAAAACTCAAGCCAAATCTGTTTGGGAAAAGGAAAGAAAAGAATGTTCCAAAGCCAGTAGAAATGACATCCTCATGGTGCAGGAGAGAGCTGGCCCTGCTTTCCTTTTCCTTTGCTTTTTAAGGCTCTAGGCTTTGAGCTACAGTTGCCCAGCAACCCCTGAGGTTTTACAAAGTGGCTGCAGAGGCCAAGACATTGCACAGCGCAAAAGGTCTAATATCCTGGCATCCTGTTCCACTGCCTAATGGTGCTGAAGGAAACCTGGAGCAGGGAGGTGGAGAATTAGCATTCTGGCTTCTAGCTGGCCCCCAGCTAGGTGTTCAAGGCCTGTCCTCCCTCTGCACCTCAATTTCCCCACTCTAAAATGAGACTGTAAACTATAGGAGTGCTAAGTGCCCCACCTAGGTGCGATGAATCATAATCCTAGCTCAAACAGTTGGAAGCTTATTGGCATTCTTCAGCTGGGAACAAAAGGGAAGGGCCTGTGCCTGCAGACCAGGGAGATGGTCAAGAGCCCCAAGGGTCAAGAGGCTCACAATTGCTGGGTGTGGTGGTACACGCCTGTAATCCCAGAATTCGGGAGAGGCTGAAGCAGGAGGATCATGAGTTGGATGCCAGCATGGGCTACATAGCAAGACACTATCTCAAAATACTTGTTTCTGGGTTTTTTTTTTTTTTTTTGGTAGTACTGGGATTTGAACTCAGGGCTTCACACTTGCTAGGCAGGTGCTCTACCTCTGGAGCCACACTTCCACACACACCCCTTTGTTTTTGGTGCTAGGGAATTAATCCAGGCCTCCCAAATGCTACACAGGGCTCTTTCTCTTGAGCCATGCCTCAAGCACTTTTGTATTTTGTTTTAGAGAGAGGGTCTTCACTAACTCCCTGGGTTTGACTGACCTGGTAATCCTGTCTCTACCTCACCACACTGGGTTCAAAATAACTTTCTGTGTGTGACAGGGTGGAGAGGGTGGGGACTAGGGTTTGAACTCAGGGCTATGACTTGAGCCACACCTCCAGTCCATTTTGCTCTGGTTATTTTGGAGATGGGATCTCATGAACTATTTGCTCAGGCTAGCCTCGAACCTTGATCTTCCCAATCTCAGATTCCCATGTAGCTAGGATTATAGGCATGAGTCACTGGTACCCAGCTCAAAGTAAAAAAAACAAAAACTAAAAAGGCTGAGGATATAGTTCAGTTGTAGAGTACTTGCTAGCATGTAAGTACTAGCAAGTTTAATCCCCAGTAAAACACACACACACGCACACACACACATGCATGCACGCACGCGTACACACAGAGCTCAGAATCATCCCTGTTCTTTTTCATAGAATTTTTTTTTAATTTGGTGCTATGAAGTTTGAACTCAGGACCTCAAGCTTACTAGGCAGTCACTCTTCCAGCCCCCAAGAAAGCTGAGACAGAGAAGCTGTGTAACCAGCCAAAGATCACACAGCCAGTAAGTAACAGGGTCTGAATTCAAACCCAGGCTGACCTCCTGGATGCCCAGCAGCAAAGGCTCTCTTTCCTGTCTTGCTTGTGAGACTGTACCTCTCTTGGT